GAGAACAAGCAGGCAGAAATGCTAAGCACCCCCTGGGTCTGAGGGGAATCTCTGGGTGGTACAAACCGTTCATACGCCCAGCTGCTAACTGAAAGGTCGGTGGTTCAAGCACACCCAGAGGTGCCTCCGCATAAAGGCCTGGTGATCTGCTCCTGTAAAAGCTGCCATTGAAAATCCTACGGCACACAGTTCCCTTCCAACACATGTGGAGTTGAGATGAATCAGCATGGCACAACCAACAGAGGAAGCTGGGATGTTGGCTTGCGTGTGATTTCTTTTCTTGAGAGGGAGTGGAGGGGGGGGGGTCTTCCTCTCTTCACCCAAAAGAAATTAAGTTCAAATAGTCCCTCCCCACTGCCCCTCCCCTGCCGAATCCATGACCTTCTGTGGCACCACAGGCTCCGCCCCAGCACTCACTGCATGGTTTCTATCTTCATCGCTGGGCTGGGTTTTTTGTTTTGTTTTGTTGTTAATTTTTAATTTTTATCATTATTTTTTTTAGGGCTCAGCAGCCTTGATATTAGGTTCCCATTGATGCTATCCGTTACACTGTCAGCAAAGCAGGCTGCCTTAGCGTAGGCCAAGTGTCAACAGAAGGTGAGGAAGAAAATCAGCCACAATCTAAAGCTAATTACCCTGCCTAGAAGTTAATTAAATACTTGTTAGGAGCAGCGGGGTAGATCCTAATTAAACTTGTCTAATAACAGTACCCTGACATTCTCTGACACTGGGAATTCCTACCGGGTTTAAATAATTGTACAAAGGGCAGTAATACCTGTCACATCCCAGTGTGCAGGCGAACGCGGGAGATGCACATTTCTCAGTATTTTCTGTTCTAATTTGCCACATATTGAGCACTTTGCGTGTGTTTAATTTACACACGTTTTAATTTGGGGGACCCCGGATGGCTCCTAATGATTTTGTCCTTATCCCCTGTTCCAAGCGGAAAAGAAAAGGCGCACACACAAAAAATAACCAAATGAATCACTGAAGCGGTCAGCAGCATTATTTTGTATGATTTGGTGTAATGATCATGATTAATGCTTGTTTATTGTTATATCTCTTGTGTTATGTAAATAAAGCTGTGGCCTTCTCCTTCCCATTTCAGAGTGGCGAAGCGGCTTTCATTTGGAAGCAAGCAGAGGGAGGCAGGCCGGGCAGGGAGAGGCCCTGCCAGCCTCCAGCGTGCACTCCAAAAAAAAACGCACTGGTTGGCAGTGCCCACCTCTAATTTCACAAAGCCCGAGGGTGAGAATCCTCGTGGCATGTGGGTAGCAGACCGCTGCAACCGCTCTCCTCTCTCCTCCCTCTGGCACTCAGGCGGCGCTTCCCAGTGCAGAGAAGGAGTAATCACCTCCCCTGAATGGAGCTTTTGATACTAAATGCCTGCGAGCTTCAGGAAGGGGAGAGGTGGAAGGCCGAGGGGAGCTGGCAGAGGCAGCTGATGAGGCTACAGACCCAAACCTTTTAGCAAGAGGGGCGTGTTCGCAGGCACTTTTTAAGCCTGGGTGGGAAAGAAGTGGAGAACGCGGGAAGAAAAGTTAGTGCCTCTTTGTGTGTGATGGATGGGGCCATGCGAAAGGCAAGAAAGGCATCCTGTTATCTCCAGTCTCGTCCAGAAGCTTGGGATTGGAAATGGTCGCATTGGGGGACCGATTTGTAAGGGCGCGTAGGAAGGAGTTGAAGATAATTCCAGGCCCTTTCTCATCCGAGAAAGGTTTCCATTCTTACTTGTATGTTTTAAGAAGCACAGTAACTTCAACACAATTGTAATGCCTTTTCTTTCTTTTCTTAAATCCTGACTTTTGACCAGGTTCTGCTGTTCAACTGATGAGTTGTCAGACTCTTTTGCGTGCGGGGTAATCCTTCATTGTACTGCATGTGCCTCTGAAAAGAACACCAATGACAAATAGACAGTTGCTGATAGGCCACATCCTCTCTCCAGAAAGCCCCACAGCACAATGTTCCTGCTTGCTTACCACAGCGCAGTGCTGACTGCAGGGTTAGAGGAAAGGAGGTGGAGATGGAATCACTTTGTTTGGGTTTAGGCTTGATTATTTGACACATACACAGGTATTTTTCTCTTCTGAAAACTTGGGCATGTGTTCATTCACATGCGGGGGGTGGGGCGTGTCCAGCCTGTTTCTCCATGTTTCCGCAGAAATCAGATGCTGACAGGGTTAAATCAAAGCCTCCCCCTTCTTATTTTTTCACCTTCTCACCAAACAGCATGACTTAATGACAAGATGTAAGCACTCCGATTTTTTCTGGCAAGCATGCTTGTTGAAATAATCAATTCACCTCGGAAGATCAAATTGACAGGGCTTAAGTGTGAAGTTATTTCAGATGCTACATTATCTAGCCTGGGGCATGCACGCTGCAAGAGCGCTGTTGAGAAACTGCACGGCTTCAGAAAGATTTCGTGCTATTTCCCCCATAGAATGCATCTGCCCATAAAAACATACGTTAGCCTGTTGCAGGTAACATCCGGGGATAACTTTAGTTTCCCTCTTTCATTTACTCCGACAGTGAAAAATGATTGGAAGACAGCCAACACTTAGATTCATCTGCAGCTTTGGCTCGCATGTCTTTTTAAACGGAAGTGAATATTTTTTTTAAAAAGTGAAATGAAATCTCCATTTGAGCCACACTTATTTTCCTTCAGATATCCTAAACTCAACCAATGTACCACCTGCACCCATCCTTTACCCACACCCACCCCCACTCCCAGTCAACCATACTTGCTTTCTGTAATCAAGATGAGCATATTTTGTTCAAGCCATACTTCAATGATGAAAACTACCATGTAATAGCTCCCTGAGAAGTCAAAGAGCTTAGGCAGGAAACAGTTGTCCACCGCCGTGGAGGAAGACGGAGTGGGGAGGGAAGTGGCATTCAGTGGGCCCATGGAGTCCAAGTAGTGTTCCCATCAGTGAAGACTGGGCCCCAGTTTTCTTTGGGGTCCACACACAAACCATGCTATGAGCAGCAGGTTTTTACATGGTGTTTCATTGCCCGCCCCCCCACACACACTTTTAAAAGTCATTCACAAGATGGAAGCATTGCTATAATTTGGAACGGTAACTCTGTAAAAGAGAGTATAATTCCGATTCTATGTACTTCAACCCTGGCTAGCTCCATGACAGTTTTTGTTTCCTATGAAAGCAGCCTGCTTATTGGTAATTCCTTTAAATAAAGGAATTATTTTCCTCGGCAATTTGTTTTGATTGTGTTAAGTTCTAGCTTGTCCTCCTCTGCTGAGATGGAAGAAAAGCTAATCTGCTGGTTTACTATCTAGCTGCATATAAAAAACAAGCGGAAAATGAAATTTTTCAAAACGCTAAACTCCTAATTTTTGTGACAAAATGTGAATGGAAATGATGAACTTATTCATGAGAGATGAGAATTTCGAAATGAATGATTTATGGGTATAAGCATTAAAATATATTAATCTGGTATGGAGGCAGCAGATTTAAGTATTATTTGGCAATTGAATGCAAAGAACATGCACACTTACATTACGATGTAAACAATGCACTTACCCAGATGTGCTCTTTGAGTGAGTCTGAATCTAAGAGTCTAGCGGTAAAAGTGAGCCAGTCAGGGTCCATGAACCTATCAGAAAGGAGTACTAATAGAGCACAGCCCCAAACCTCCATGACCACCTTGATGGAGCCTACCTTTGAGAACGAATTCTGTAGTTTGCACTCTACTGGTTAAGTTGATCGATTTGTGGTTTGTAATCCATAAAGCACATCTGTAAACACATCTCTAGTTAAAACTTGGAGTTTTGCAAGCTTAACAATATTTTTGAGTAGGCTATTTGTTGTGGTGGGCTGCCTCATGCATCAACTGTCTCGATTCCAGGAACACTACCCCTGCCCAAATCAGGACAATCAACATGGTCTCCAAACATCGCCAAAGGTTTGCTGGGGTCAAAATTGCCCTCAACTAAGAACCACCACTGCAACCCACAACAACTCATGACCATCGGAAGACTATACTGGTCCTCCACAGAGGCCAATATACTGTGAAGCTAAGGAAGTTTCAGGTTGGGCGACCATCACTTCCACAAACACCTTCCAAAGCTCTGGACCTGATTTTGTGCTTATTATTTTCTATTTGTGATTTAAAAATAATACTTTGAAAAAATTTTTATTGTGGTTTTGTTGAAAATATACATAGTAAACATACATACACTAATTCAAATGTCTAAATGCATGAGAGGGCTTCAAAAAGTCATGCAAACATGAAATTGAATAATAGCATTTTTTCATGAACTTTTTGGAGGCTCCTTCATACAATTCAGTGACACTGATTCCATCCTGCGAGTTGTGCAAACATCCTCATCCTTTCCTGCATTTCTCCTCCCCCATTAACATAACTCACTGCCCTCTAAAGGGCCTTTTAATCTTTCAGGTGGATTTGTGAGTTTGATCCCATACAGATAGTTCTTACATAATGAGAAGGCAGACATTTTTCAGTAGTTTAGCTATGCTGCCTTAAAGATGGCCCCCAATATTTTAGAAGTTCAGGAGCTATAAAGTCTGTACCTATCCCTCCTAGGACTTGGTTCTGTATAATAATACACTTTTCAGAACTAAAACCTGTCCCAAAAGACTCCCTACTCTAAGGTCTAAAGAGGCTAGCAGAGAAGACTGTGAGCGATTTGTCCAAAGGACTTACTTCGCACGGCCCATCCAATTACCCAAGAAACACCATCACTTGTGGGTTGAAATGTACTTACCCTTCTTTATCTCCAACCCTCAAGGTTAGATAATCACAAACATAACTTGTAGAAATTATCCTCTTCGCTCCTAGATTCAGATTCAATTACCCTTAATTGAACACCTTCTAGCTGATCCTTATCTTGTGACACACATATTACCACCCTCCTTAGATCCTGTTTACACATAAAGATCTGGCATGCTCGCTACATTTTTAAGACAAAAGTAAAATTTTTTCAGGGAGATCATCTAAATAAGGAACACTTTTCCTACCCTATATTATAGAGGTCTTCCTTATAAGGTTCCATGGACAAAACTCCTCACCATCTGGGAATCAAGAAAAATATATTATCATGAGAAACTGTCTTGTAGAAAAAGAAAAAAGAATCCTTTTGGGCCCCAGAAAACTCAGGGCCAAATTTCTACCTATAAAACCTCATTATAAGGCCAAACAGTAAACATGTCTGGGTCTAGCTCTGTGTGTTGTTTGGGAAAATCTGCTGCATCAGACAGCACTTGAAGACGAAGCTCTGTCTGATTCAAGCCACGGTATTTTCAGTCCCTGGTGTGGAGCTCTGGTGGTGGTGTGGGTTACGTGTCGGGCTGTAACCCACAGAGTCAGCAGTTTCAAACCAACAGCAACTCCTTGGGAGGAAGATAAGACTTTCTACTCCTAAAAACAAGTTAGTCTCAGAAACATATGAGGGCAGTTCTACACAGTCCGTATAAGAGCTCTCATAGCATGTGGATTGGACTTCGAACCACAAGGTCAGCAGTTCAGAACCACCAGCTGCTTCACAGGAGCGTGTGGCAGTCTCAGAAGCCCATAGGAGCGATTCTACCCCGCACTACGGGGCCACTACGAATGGAAACCGACATGAAGGCAGGGAGCTTGGTTTTCTTGCTTTGAATATGCATATGGCAGCTGAACAAGGGGTAAGGAAGCCCAAAGAAGCAGGGATCTCATTGAATCATGGTGTTGGTGAAGAATATGGAATATACCATGTACTACCAGAGCAAAACTGATCAAATCTGTCTTGGGAAAAGTATACAGCCAGAATGGAGAATGGAAAAACGTTGTCTCCCATTCTTTGGGCATGTTCTGGAGAGAAATCAGTGCCTAAGAAAGACATCCTGCTTGGTAAAGCAGAGGGTCAATGGGCGAGAAAAATACCTGCACTGAGAGGGATTGGCCCTATGGCCGAGCAAAAAGGCTCAAACCCAGGGACAAGTGTGAGGGTGGTGCCGGACCAGGAGGGTTGGTCGGTTATTCAGAGACTTGCTAGACGTAGAACAGACTCGGCAGCAACTGTTCTGACTTTACAACTTTCCCTCCCCCTGACTCGCTACGTACATTTTAATATTTTATTAACTGTGGTCAGTTCAAGGTGCCTCCGATTCTTGAGTGAATGAAGAAGCACATTTCAATCTAACAGCAAATGACTATTGTCCCGAAGGCAAGTAGACAGAGTAATACAAAATGACTTACCTTAATGCCAGGCCACACCGTCCAGTTTGAACAGGACAGTCAGCGGTTGCTCGCTGTATCCCCAACCACCGAACGAGCTCTCACCTGTAATTAGATGCACACATAATATGCAAACACGCACTGCCATGTGGATTGTTTCACTGTTATATTGGGGTACTTTCGCCTATAAACTTGAAACTGTGAGATAATATGACTCTTGCTTATTTTCTACCTGGGCCTCCTACAGAGCTCAGCCCCCCCTTGGAGGTACTCCTTGAGCTCCTGTCCGTGCAGAATCCCTGACAGTCTTTCCCTTGTGCCCGTGCTCCCCTCTCTGGCCGGCCTCGACTTGGATTGTGCTCCTGGCCGTACGTTGTCCGAGGCTGAGCTCTTCATGAGTCTCAATCTCTGTCAGGACAGGCAGCAGGCCTATTTTATTTACTATCGTTTACCAGCGTCTGGTACAGTGCCTGCCAGGTTGTTGTGTTGTTCCTTGTCTTTGAGCTGTCTCAGAGTCAAGGCGACCTGACGGAAAAGGGAGCAAACCGTGACCTGGCCCAGTGCCATCTGGAACACCACTGTTGTCCGAGTCTGTTGCCATGATTACGGAGTCCATGCATCCCATAGAGGTTCCCCCCATTCTGACTGAACCTCTAGATCATGTCGTAGGGGCTCACAAAATGTTGGTTGAACAAAGGAATCATTAAATGAAATAAATAATTGTTATCACTTCTCCTTGTTATGAGTTAGCGCTCCTGCATTTCTACAAGATTTGCCAACCATGCCTCAAGGAGACAGGACATTATATAACATTAGCATCGATAAACAAACTCGAGTACAGGTTGGGGGTTCCTCCTCTAGAGGACCTCCAAACCCCAAATAAGGCCCAACCTCCAGTCATTGAGTGGACTCCAACTTAGAGTAGTAACCCTCTGAGGCAGAAGAGGGTTTCTACGCCTGTGATCTTTATGGACAGAGCCTGCCATGTCTTTCTCCCGGGGAGTGATGGAGGAGTTCAAACCTGGGCCCTTTCACGTTTTACCCAAGAAGCTTAACTCTTTCAGAGAAACACCAGCCTTCTTCAAGCCCCCCTCCCAGTGATGCCCTGGGTCTCCGAGGTGGTCTCCATGTGGTCACGGAGAGTCCTGCACCCCCTTCCTGTCTGGCGCTCAGGTTGGTAGTGTTCAATAGAAAGGCCGTGTTCTCTGCTGCCTGCCCCAGTACCTGGGTCATCAGTGAGGACATAGGTTCTCTGCTGAGAATGCTCCCCGAGATGCCTAGCTTCTGGTATACCAAAAGGTCTGCCGAGTCCCCTCCATCTCCTTTCAGGCCTCACTCTGCCTCAGACATACTGTGTTTCCCATGCCACCTTCCACATGGATCACAGCGTTGTGCTGCTAAGCTTCAGACTTCTGAAAGTCCTAGAAACAATGCACCCAGCTTCTGTCTGCTGTTCTCCTCACCACTGCCCTTAAAATGAGTGCATAGTCTAAGAAAGGAGGTGGACACCATTTTATCTCTTCTGTTGAATCATTTTCTATAGCCCTCCAGAGAGAGCCTCAACTACAACCTCCTTCAGACAGAAACAAGACCCCATCACACAAGTCATGTGTCTAATTTGACTGACGTAAGGATGGCATGGAATAAACTCCAGTCTCACTAGGGAGAAACCCCAGAATCCCTTTGAGACTCGTCATTCTTATGAATAACTACAGTGACAGGTTGTGGTGTTCCGCGTGCCGGTTGAGTCATGTGACAGAAGAAAGCTGCACCCGAGCAACATGTGTACCTGCCTTTGGAACTCCAACTTAGGGTGTTTGCCACAAGATGGCAGAGTGGGGGGTGGGTCACCTGAATAAAAGTCACCGTGCAGGTAAAGATGTCTGAGAGATGGGGGCCAAGACACATTACAATCAGATTTTGCATTTTTCCAAACCAAAAATAAAGCTGTTAGAAACCAAGACATGGTTATACTGAAGAGAAAATAAATGCAATGTGGCATAAAACAAAATAACTCCTAGAGCATTTAGAGAGACTCTTATCTACCTCATGATGTTATATAGCTTGCATAAAAGTGCCGTGAACATTCATTTGGTCTGTAGATTCTCCCGCTGACCCCCCTACCTTCTGGTATGTAAGTCCGCCAGTTTTGAGCCTTAACTCTCCTACTAGCTGCTTTCGATTGATTCACTGTGTAGCTTTGCACCACCTTTCCGTGCCTTACTCCAAGTAAACGATCCTGTTAGTGTTTCTCTAGCACAGCAGTTCTCAACCTGTGGGTCAGGAACCCTTTCACAGGAGTTGCCCAATTCATAACAGTAGCAAATTGACAGTTATGAAGTAGTAACAAAAATAATTTTATGGTTGGGGGTCGCCACAACATGAGGAACTGTATGAAAGGGTGGAGGCATTAGGAAGGTTGAAAACCACTGCTCTGGAACATTTCCCAAAATGGGTGATACCATCCTTTGGGGGTGCTGTAACCACCCCAGAGGTTGCAAAAGTAGATGCCTACACTTCATCCTGGAATATAGGCTATAGTTTAAAAAAAAAAAAGAAGAAGAAGTATTTCATTGCCAGGAACCATTGAATTGCTTTTTTTTTTTTTTTTTTTCCTGAAAAGGGAGCAGTAGATCAAATTAGTTCAGAAACCTATGCTCTTGAAAGATGATTTTAACTCCACAAAACAAAAACAAAATAAACCCCCTGCAGTGGAGTCTATCCCAACTCATAGTGAACTTAGAGGACAGGGTAGAACTGCCTCTGTGGGTTCTCAAAGACCGTAACTTTTTTATGGGAGTAGAAAGCCTCCTCTTTCTTCCACAGAGGGGCCTGGTGGTTTCGAACTGATGACCTTGCAGCTGGCAGCCCAAAGTGTAACTTCTATGCCCGAGGGCTCCTTGAAACCGACAAATAGGAGAAGCTAAAAATGATCTCAGAGTTACAGTGTAGTCAAGAACCCTTATGGTACATGGCTTCCTGGCATCGTCCTATCCACCACCTCGTCAAAAGCCCAGGATGAATTCGGCCCGTGTTGAAAAGGACCCGCCAGCAGCATTAGCTCAAAACCATGCTCCGAGTGCCTGCTTTGGGAACCAGCACAGCCGCAGTTGCTTGTCTGCATATGTGGCTGCTGTTGGCTGTCATCAAGTCGATTCCCAGGAGGGTGAGCTCACTGGTGCAGAGGAGGACTGATCTAGATGGACAGCCCTGTCTCCCAAGGGCTTCCTCTGGCTGAGTTCACCCGAGCAACCAGTCCATGAGCAATCTAGTGCTTAGCATTCGGGCCACCCAGACTCAAGGGCTTGAAGGCTTGATATTTTCACTAAGCCCCTACCTTGTCAACAGGGGTGCTCTTTGCTCTCAGCGATCTTCTTACCAATTCAGGCATCAAACAAGTTGCTCTTGGATTGTCATCGAATCCAGAAAATGTATTTGGACACATTTGATTCCATTTAAAATTAATTTTTGACTGGATTATTCTAATGATGTTTTAGATCTGTATGAATGTGTAGATAAACTCTACAGACAGAATGCTATGATGTGCACCATTGTGGTTTTCCAGGCAGCTCCCAGCTTTGGATAAAGCAAGCACTACTTGCTAAACAATGACCCAGGTGTTCCAAACCACTCTCTTTCTGCAAAGAGCCCTTCACTGTTGATATTCCGCTGTCAAACAACATCAACTATCAAGTTAGAAGCACAAAAAGGGGAGATGTCTTCACTCAGCAGGCTCTGCTCATCAAATTTGTTTCCTCAGAAAGTCCAATCTTTGAATACTTTAATCCAATAAAACGATGAATGTCTACCACCCGTCTTATTTGCATTACACTGAAAATCTGCCACCTGAGAATTTCCCCACAGGTGTATTGGTACATAAGGGAGTGAGGTGACAGGGTGAGAATCAGTGGTAGACATTTCGTTCTGGAACTCCCGCCTGCTGGTATGTTGTCATGCTGCAAAGAGAGTTCTCCCCAGGAGATGTATAACCTCTGAGACCTCAGAAATTGTGTCAGGATGGCCCTCAGGGCAACACTACATAGTCTGTAGGGGGCAGTATAACATGATGAAAGGAGTCCACCTCTGGTGAGATGGAACTTGGCTTGGAATTTCAGCATCCATTTGCTTTCCGCTGTGTGATTTTGTAAAAGCTCCATCACCTCTTTAAACATTAGTATCATCTTTGGTTTAATGGAAATGGTACTTCCCCGTGAGTCATTATGGCGATCAAATGGGATACTAAATATAAAGCACCTCATGACCAGGTGACACTGTAGGTTAAGTACTGGACTGTGAATTCAAGGTTGCTGGTTCAAACCCACCAGCTTCTCCTCAGGAGAAAGGTGAAACGATCTGCACCCATTTGGATTTGCAGTCTAAGGGTCCTGAAGGGGCAATGCCACTGTGTTCTGCAGAGTCACTATCAGTCCGAATTGGCTTGATGGGGCTGGGCCTGGCTTTGGTTAGAAAGACATTTGTCGCAGAGCAGGAGACTAAATAAATAAAGTATATCAGTTGGCAATGAATATGATGAGGTGAATGATGGATGAGTATCTGGTTATGCATACAAAGATAGAATTTAAGGCAATATTGATCATTAATCGTAATTAATCTTACACCAAAACATCTAGGCATTTACAAAAAGGTAAATTTTCAGCACCGCTCCCAAATCTTCCATATCAAAGTCTCTGAGGGAAGAGCCAGGAGTGTCCCATAGTTCACAAGGCCCCAGTGGGGTGCATATGAATCGGCTTGACTCTAGGTAAGTAATTTTGTTTAACTCGGTACATTTTAGTTTTGTTCATATCCGCACTTTTCTACCAACCCGTTACATAGTCATTGACTTAGAAGTATCACCGATCATTTAGTACGCTCTAAAGATCAAGCAATCATCCAAACAAGTCCTCTCTTTTGAAGGTTTGATGATTTGGCTTTGTTTTCCTGTGCTTAATGTTCATTCTTTCATCCATGGGTGAAGGCTTGGGTATATTTAATAAATCCACTGCCTGCTGCCAAGGCTGGGTCTTTCAGACATCACAGTGCTCTGGGAGTGCTCACTAGGTAGGAAGGGAAAACACGATTGCCCAGGAAGAAGAGAGAGTCAA